AAATGCACAAACAAGCAAATACAGCAAAGACAGACCCACAGTGATAAAGATCCCCCACCTTCTCCACACCACTGGCAAGCAGGCATGCAGATGGCTATGGAGACACACAGGCACAAAGTCATCCCACCACCACCACAGGCCCAAACCACGCACTCAAATGATAGATAGGTTGTGGTCAGCTGCTGTTGAGTTGCCCCTGACTCATGGCGACCCCGTGCATGATGGAATGAAGCACTCAGTCCTGTGGCATCCCCATGATCAGCGGGGGATGGGACCATTGTGAGCCATCAGGTTTCCGTGGCTGCTTTGCAGAAGTCAATTGCCTGGCCATTCTTCCTGCTCCATCTTAGTCTGGAAGCTCTGCTGAAACATGTTCAGCATCGTAGACACATACAAGCCTCCACTACGGATGGATGGGAGCTGCACGTGAAGTGCACTGCGTGGGAGTCAAACCCGGGTCTCTCACATAGAAGGTGAGAATTCTATCACTGAACCAGTGTCGCCTCACTACAGACTCAAATACCCCCTTCATAACCATAAAAACAGACTTGAATACACATACTAACATACTCAACATGTGCGCACGCACGCACGCACGCGCCCTCCCTCTCTCACAATCCCTGGGCCTTGCAGTCTCTACCAAACGCAAACAATAGTGGTTGACTCCCTTGCTACAGTAAGCTTTACATAAATAGCCTTTATTTGTTCTCATTATTATTCAACAGAAGAAAAGAGAAGGGAAGGGAGTTTGGAAGTTCCTCAGAAAAAATTCACCGGTCCAGTCTCCGCAGTTTGTCCTGGTGGAGGCTATGTCTCTGGTTGGCATCTTGGGCCAGCCTGCCTCTGCAGTATTCTCCCAGGTGACTTCCAGCAGTCTTTTAAAGTTTACGTTCCTTTGTTATTTTGGAAGCAATGGTTTTGAGAGTCATGGAGGTGTCAGGTATCCTCTTTACTTGAACTGCACTGAGAGACTGCCAAAGCATTTTGCACACGTCCGCCCATCACTCTATGCCTCTGCCAAGCATGCGCAGCAGCTGGGACTGCAAGCTAGTCCTGCTCCCTGTGTAAAGTTTAGTGGACATGCTCTGCCCCTCAAGGTTTGAGCGTTTCCACTCAGTCCTTACATTCCAGTTCATTCGGGTTCCTGCTGGCATACCGGAAGACAGATTTCTTCTTATGAACTAGAGGAACCTCCTAGTGGGCCCCTGCTGGCCCAGGGCATTTCCAGAGGGGGAAATTGAGGTCACACTGTAAGGATAACTCTCGTGGTCTCACACCTGACACAGTGCCCAGCATGGATGGAGTTTCTGTCAGACTCACCGTGGGGGAAATTGGTTCTGCCTGGGGCTCCCCCCACCAGTGCAGCTGATGTGGTGGGCTGAGGAGGGTGCCATAGAGGCCTGCTGGACTCCGGGCCTGGGATGCTGTGCCTTACAGCTGTTCCTGGTGCAGGAGACTGAGGCAGAAGCAGAAGTCCTAGAGGACTCTCTCACATGCTTGCACTGTATTTGCAGTTCTAGATGGAGGGCTGGCCAAGGCTGGCCTTCAAAATAAAGGAATTATTTCTATTATTTATTTTATTGTGATTTGGGTGAAAGTTTACAGAGCAAATTCACTTTCCATACAGCAGTTCACATACACTTTGTCTCATGACACTGACCACAATTTACCACAGTGCAACAGTTCCCCTTCCACTTCCTCCTGATAATTACCTCTTCCCTGTGTCCATTTCTCCATGCACCCCTGCCCCCTGAGCTGTCTCCCTGTGCATAAGCAGGCTTTCTTTCTCCCATGATTGTTCTCTCCAAGGAGTGTATCTACTTCACATAAATGTTCAACTCATATGTCTGTCTTTTGCTAGGCTGGAAGCCACAGGTGTGGGTTCAATTCCAGACCCGATGGGCAGCTAGAGGCCATAGTCTCAGTGGTTCCACCAGGCTCTATCAGACCAGCAAACCTGGTCCCCCGCCTTTTTTTTATTATTTCCAAATGATTTTGAATTTTGTTCTACATTGTTCTCCCTCTATCCAGGATCTCCTACATAGATCCCCCTCTGAGTGGTTGACATTGGTAGCGGGGCACCATGTAATTCTTCTGGTCTCATAATCACATAGGCTGTGGATCGCATGGTGTACCAGTCACTAGGACTAATTGTTTCCATGAATCTTTGGTTTTCTTCATTTTTCTTTGCCCTGGATGAGGAGAGACCCATTGTTGCATCTAGATGGCACCTTGCAAGCTTTTAAGATCCCAGTCGCTACTTGCCAAAGTAGGAGATGGAACAATGTTTTGTGTAGTGTGTTATGCCAATTGAGCTTGATGTCCCCTGTGACTATGGTCCCGAGCCCACGGGTTCATTACTTGGTCCCTCTGGGTAGCTGGCTGTGACCAAGCAGTGCTTACCACCTTGCCTCTTGTCAGCTCTACTATACATCTGGGAATTCAGATCATACACATAAAG